TGTTTTCTAACCGATGTGAGAATTAAAAAACCGATTTGAAAACAAATTCGAGTCAATACACTTTTCAATTTCTGAGCGTATTGAAATTTGGTTTATGCATACGTTTTGAATCACGGCGAAGTGGGTTAAAGCGCTTTATGTGTCGGTATAAACAAGGTAAGTGATGTGTTTATACCTGTTTTTTAAACGATGTGAGAAATAAAAAAGCGATTTGAAAACAAATTCGAGTCAAAACACTTTTGAATTTCTGAGCGTATTGAAAGTTGGTTTATGCTTCCATTTTGAATCACAGCGAACTGGGTCAAAGTGCTTTATGTGTCGGTATAACCAAGGTAATAAATATAAACATTAAGGTGTCCTGAGAAATTTATATAAATAAAACGGTGCTACAAAGAAAAAAATCACGAAATACACTCGAAATATAACTTAGTGTTGGTTGTAGCTAGGGTCGAGTTAGGGCTACCAGAAGTTTACAATCAAAAATCTGTACACGGGCAAAAAGTGGTGGGTGAAAAATCCGAACAAAACACGTACGTTCAAATTTGCTTGGCGAGATAAAAATAAAAAAATGTGGGTGTTCACACCTGCCTGATTATCAGGCTATCAGGCTAAAACTTATTATTTTGCTGTTTTATTAATTGTTGTTAACTAAGAAAAAAATATAACCACATAACCAGATAACCAGGCAAATGTGAGAACCCGCAATTTGTACTAAGGTGAACGCAGACTTTCAAGAACATCAAATAAAACCACATATTTTTCCAAGAGTGCTATTTATTTATTGCTGCACATATGAACTTATTATTTGTCTGACTAGAAATTTTTAACGAATAGTGCTTATGTAATTTATGTACACTTAACATGGCGTCCGCTGTGGCTGAACGGTTAGAGGTGCGTACTACCACTGCATGGGACCTGAGTTCGATCCCTGGTCCGAGCAACATCTAAATTACAAAAAGGTTTTTCTAACAGCGGTCACTACTCGGCGGGAAATAGCAAACCTCCGACTATATTTCTGCCAGGAAAAAAAAATAGTAATAGATTGCCGCCTACACAAATGTTAGTGTTTGGGCGAGCTTCTTCTCCGATTTGTGGCGTGCACCTTGAGTTGCGAGTAAATAAGGCGCATTCCACGGTTATCGATACCGAACAAAATGAAAATAAACTTAAGAATTTGAGTGAATGTATTATTTCTAGCAAGTAAAAGTAAATAAAGATTAAAATCAAAAATTTCCAAATTTATTTTAATATCAGATAAATTTTTAATTTTGAGTGGATTCTGCCATGAAGAACAGCTTCTCATTAAAACACAATCGCTATTCGGAATCGGTGTAAAACTGTAGGTCACTCCCCTTTCTGTGACAGCCAGGGTGGCCCACTTTTGCATCCTTGAAACCGGGACTCACAATAAGTCCGTTCTTTTGCTCGCCGGCAGGTGCCCGAAGGGGTGTGAATGTGAAATAACACAAATTTGCTTTATTTCATTTCTCGTTGAGCAATAAGACCAACTTTTATACTTAACAATTTGAGTAATAAAGCAAACTAATGCACATACATATGTACGTAGTCACCCAGTTACATTTGACAAAAAGTAGTACATGAACAAGTTAAATGGACGGATTTGTAAGTATACAATTTTGAAAGTGCCCGGCGTCGCGGCGGTCTTTTTAATGTCCAATTAATGGGAATTATTGTGTATGGTGTTATTGCATGCTGCATCCCACCCATAGTGGAAGTGCCACTGCTTTATTTGAAAATTTGCCTATAAAATGCCGAATGTCAGAAAATAAAGCGAGAAAGCAGTTTTATTACTTCATCTGTTTATTGCGACATGTTTTCATGCAAACATTTTAAGGTTTTCCAGCAATGTTTTTAACATATATTAAAAAGCATGCAGAAAAAATTCATACAAAAGCGATATGTCCAAT